CTTCATCCCGGCGCACAGCGGAGAGTGTGCTTGCTTCGGCGGGTTTAACGGTGGTGTACGCGTCGTGCAGCATCGAGTGATGTCGGGCTTTACACGTGTTGCACGTTTTCGCGGACTGGCATTTCGCGATCTGGTGGGGACCGAGGCAGTTAAAGCACAATCGGTGTGTTTCCGCGACGGTTTTGCGTTCGGTCGCGGACTTCGCCTTGAACTCGTCGCACATCATCACATTGTGCTTGCCCTTGCACAATACACACTGAGACGATGTGGGGGATCCCTTGGCGTGATGGGACTTTGCGGATCGTGGCGGATTCCCGGAGGTTTTGGCTGTCGTCGCTTTAGCGACTTTGAGCGTGAGCGCTCTTCGAGTGATGAATTTCACCAGGGTGTCGTGGCTCGGAACGTCGGTGGACTCACTCGTGTAGGACGCCCACTCGAGGCGAGTCTTCGGGTCGAACATCTCGGTGACGAGGTGGTTGAGCAAGTCAAAACCGTGTGTCTCGATGGGTCTACCGATACCCTCCTGTCCACTCACGACGCTAGTTACGGCATTGAAAACGCGGTCGAGTTCCTCGGCGGTGTCGCTCCTCATCTTAGGAACGGCGGTGAAGGCGGCAAAATTGGCGCGAGCTACCTCCTTTTCGTTCTCGTAGTGCTCTTTAAGCATTGCCCACGCGCGCGGATAATTCTCCCCGATTACGGCTAACGGACGAATTAATTTTTCAGCCGCTCCTTCGAGACAGTACCTCAGGTGGTGATACTTCTCGATGTTTGAGATGGACTTATTTTTGCCGACGATTGACATGAAACTATCTCGGAAGGTGGGCCAGTCCTCGAACGCGCCCGAAAACGACTTGACTCGGAGTCGCGGTAAGGCCGACACGGAGGAACCGTTGCAGGGCTCCTTGCCGGGAGCGTCGCTTAACGGATTCGCGGATTGGAGTTTTATCAAGTACTCATTTAACGCGCTTCGCTCTTCCACGTAAGTAATCTCGATGGTGTCGAAGAATTGCGTTCGATTGTACTCACTCTCATCTAATTCTTCCTTGAAGAGAGTTCTAATGGCTTCGTGCTGTGCTTCGACCTTGGCCCACGTTTTGTCGAGGAGTTGGAGGCGTGTCTCAACGGCGTGGAGCGTGATGTTCTCCGCGCCCATCTTCTTTAAGTTGGAGACCGAACGGGCGATGCGACCATGAGCGTCGCTTTGCGCCGTTAGCAAGGCGTTTAAGTCCATGATTACAGCTCTCTCTTTTTCAGGCACTTCAACTGGCGATGCACTCCCGAATTGGCGGCAGCCGGTGGCAGATCCGGCTCGAAGGACCAGTAATGTTCGGAAGCGCGGTTGACAACGCGGACGCGGACAAAGAGGAGCGGACAAAACTGTAGAAAATGCAGCACTCAAGACTTAATAAAGAACAAGCCAAAACTAATTTTATTTCGTTATACAAGAGAGTAGTCCAGAATTATTGCGGGTCGGTACACAAAGAAAAGTTCGGTAAGGCGCAAGCTAAATTCGACGAAGCGGAGAAACACGCGACTCTAGTGGCTCTGTCAGTGGCGGAATGCGGCCGGTTCATTTATTTGCGCCCAAATTTTGCCCCCCAGTCGGTGGGGCACCAATCAACCCTCAACCTGTTTGAAAGTTTTAAGGTGACCCTCGATTATCAAGAGTGATTGGCAATCGAGAGTCCCCGCGCGCTTTGACGCGTGCGCGACAGGGGCGTTTGCGCTGCGGTCGACACGATTGACGGTAGCGTTCGTTATTTGCTGGCGAAGAAGCGTTGACACGAGCTCGCCGTCGTTGCGAAGACGCGAGCAAGTCACAACATTTCGGAGCTAATTGTTTTGAAAAGGTGTACAGCCCGGGCTTTCTCGGTGCCCTCGAGGCGAAGATAACAATAAACGCGACGACAATTCGCCGTTCTGAGCGTCTCTCTCGAATCTTCCAGAAGCCCGCGCTGTACACCTGAAGTTATCGATCGCTTGATAGAATTAATCGATGCATTGCGTGTGGACTGTCCGATCCCGAACACCGACAATATCTTTT